TTTTTCTTTTTAATCTTTTGCACAGTATTTATACAGTTTGATGACTCTTGTTATTTTTGTTGTTAGGAGACCCTAGTGCTTTTAAAGGATAAGTTCACCTTCTAACAAAAAATAATAACTGCAAATTTTTTGTATGGAGCTCCGCACGGCCATATTTTTTAAAAATTGTGACAGCTAGCAGGGGGAAGCAGAACCCCCGCTAGCTGTCACAATGGACATGGGGGGGGGATGCGGGGGCCATTTGTAATATGTTACATATTACACCCTGAAAATGGGTGTAGTATGTAACATGTTATGAAAGATGAACTTATCCTTTAAGAAAGGCATGCAAAAATCTGGGTGCCATTAAAAAGAGCTGCACGTCAGATTTTCTTCAAAATCCATAGGTGACAGTTACATAAACACTTTTCAGGAATTATAGTTTGTAAGTTTCACCACTGCCTGGTGCTTCTAAGAATTTTATCTGCGTGTTCTGAAATAACATTCCAAAAAAACCTAAATGTTGGAGTTAGATGCTTCATTATTAAATTGTGTCAAAGTCTGGGGTAGTCTTTGCACACATGCAACACAGATTTCAAAGAAGGCTATATCCTATGCGTAACATTACTGCAGCCACTCTTCTTGAAGGCCAGGGATTGGCTGCCATCACTGACATGGACGCTTTTTGCTTCCCTTCTACCATTACTTTTTTTCAATGAAGGATTACATCTTATTTACAGTACCTATATGCAGTTTTGTAAACTCAAATTTCAAAAGGAAGTTATATATATGTGCAACATGCAGCGAAAATATGCTGGTGGTAAGGGATACAATATAAGATCTGTTTAGTGCAGAGATGAATAATTGAAACATTTCTGGAACTGCTTTAGATTATTTATTTGTAGATCAAAGCATAGCCATGAACTATATAGCGCACATTATAAATGAAAAGATGCTTTTGCTTATAACTACTTATGTACAAAAGAAAATTCAGAAGCTACATTTGCAACATTGATAGACTCTTCAAAGAAAAAAGTTTCTAAAATCTCATCCAGTAGGACAAATAAAAGTAAAAAATGGTGTTTAGATGTGAAACTGTGAGGTTTGTGCCTGAGGAGCATGAACAAAAGGTTCAGACCAAACTTTGGCTGCTCGGGCATTCATCTTAATGCTGGACCTTTTACTCATTCAGCTGGAGCAAAACGCCATATATAGCAGAAATATTTTTACCTTGTCCATGGTAAGGTGATTTGCCAGAGACCTCCCTGACAAGTCTTCTTGTTCCCTAATGATGATAACAAGGGTATCTTCCCCACAGCCCTGGCCTAGTGGTTGTGGGGGTCTGAATGTGAGGGATTATCAGAATATCAAAGCCACATTTAAATAATTGGTGTCCCTAGATACCTGCCCCCCATGTGAATGAGCAAAGGGGTACGTAGTAAATGTACTAATGTACATTTAAAAAAAATGTAAACCTTAAATAATGACACGCATTTTTGTGACAATTCTTTTAATAACAAAATAAAAAAAAGAAACCAATGTCCCATAATGAACATCCATCATCAGTCATGTCACCTAGTGATACAGATCCTCAATAATCACGTTGAACAGCCCCAGCGAAAAAAAATCCATCTGACACAATTTACTCCTGTCGTTCACTTGTAGAAAATGACATGGCCCGGGGCCCTGCTGCTAAAAGCAAACAAAATAGTGAGGTACCCTAGGTGATGTAATTGACCAAATATATCCATATTTGGTCAATTTCATTGCCTTAATATGGTCATGTGGCCATATTTGGTCAGGGATGGTGGCACTATCTCCACTCCTTCATTTACATGGCTGCGGATTCCCTACCAGTAAATGAATGAGGCCGGGTGCCATCATAGGTTGCTAAGGAAGCAATGGGCATTGGCATCCATTACCAAAAGGAAGTTGTTTTTATATATATATATATATATATATATATATATATATATATATAATATATATATATATATGGTAGAAATACTGCTACTAATATATGATGTCCAGCTTATGCTGAATATGCAATAAAAAACCAGGTGTTCAGTCAAATTCCCAAACAGCCAAGGCTTAGTTCAAACCTATGTTCAGACAAGACCTTGAGCCCATCTGTAATCTTTAGTTATTCAAATGTTGTAGGCAAAAAATTGTACCGTACAAAACTTGAACCAGCCTGTCCCCCCAATTATTAAAACTATTGCATGTGGGATTTTAATTTTTTTTTTTTATATTTTATCAAAAAAAGTTAGTGAAGTCAATTTTGAAATGGTTCACTCATGTTTATTAAATGCATACATTATGAGTTGGGGCCCCTACTGTTCTGGAAATATGCTTGTTGAACGTCCAACAGAAAGTGTTCGGGATGAGGCTTTCTTCTAGAACGTTGATTTACTAAAGGCAAATAGGCTGTTCACTTTGCAAGGGAATTTTTTCATTAGCTTACTGAATGCAATGAAAATTTACTTTTACAAAAAAATATCCAATTACATGCAAGGAACAAAAGTATTTTTGCACATGATTAGATGATAGAAATCAGCATTGCTTCACCCCATTTATCAAACTAAGAGAAAAGCACCTTGCAAAGCAAAATTTCTTTTGCAAATTGAACAATCTATTTGCCTTTAGTAAATCAAACCCATGGCTTCCTATTCCCTGGAAGGTCTTTCATCCTGTCTATTGATATAAACTTCTTCAACACACTCCAAGATTCCAGTTTTAGGCTATTTAACCACTTGTCTACCAAGATATGTTTATGAACATCATGGTAGACACGTTTTAAACCAAGCTCAGTTGATGCTACAGCTCTGAGTTTGATACTGGCTTTAAGAGCCAGAGAAGGGCTTTTCTGAGTGACCAGGTGGCTCTAAATCTAGAGCTGCTCAATCACTTTTTCTGAGGTTGCGAAGGGGCACCCCCACCCACCCCCGCATGGCACATGCAGTGGTTCCCAGGCTTTCCCATTCCACCGAGGAGACTGAGACCACAGGAAACAGCTTCCCTGGTGAAAGCAGGAGGAACTCAAGGAACATCCATTCTATGATTTCCCCCCTGCCACTAATGACCCTAGAAGCAACACTTCTGGGGTCACAGCTGTCATTCCTGGCCTAGTGTAGCTGAAGATGTAGCTATTCAAACACGATCTGTGTTAGAATAGCTGAATTGTGGTTAAATAGTTGCACTGGAGGGCAGGAGAGACATTGGGGGGTCTAATAGGGGATGTAATAAGGGTCTAATGTGTCTTCATAAAGAGGACCTGTCACCTTCCCATGCTATTGCAGAGGGGGCTTGTTAGCCCTGTTGTGATGGCAATAAAATAAAAATAAAAAACAAAAAGTATAAAAATAAATAATAATAATTAAAAACAATTAAGAACACCTGTCGCCCTTGCACACTCCCCTTATAAAAACCCCAGCCTAGAGTGAGCACAGGTATATAAACATCAGTTGGACCACACATTTGAGGTATCACCATGAACATCAGAGTGAAAACAATAATTCTAAGGCCATAGTTCAAAGTTGACTCTAAAATTATGACCTGTAAAAGCTTTTAAATATTTGGGGAGAATTTTGGGTACTATCAAATTTTTTATGATTTCTAGGGTGTGTGCAATTTTAAGACTTGACAGATTTGGCATATATTTACTTGACACAAGATATGGAGATGTGGATTTGTAGGGCTGTAAGCAGGTATAGAATTTTCAGGAGAATTGTAATTTAAAAGATTTAATTTTAAATACTCTTCAATGGGCAAACCATGAAAAGATGCTTGTGTCCCATTTCTGTATAAGTTGCCAAGTTTTATGAAGGAGTGGGGGGAAATTTAGAGTGAAGGTGTCTCTCAGTTTGGCGGGAATAAAGGTTCCTAGTTATTTGCTTTTGGCACCCAATGAAAACATAAGTTTGATTTAAGGGCAAGAATTTTGAACGGGGAAATAGTGCCACCCATGGCTTCAGATTTTTGAAAATGAATCTTAACAAAAGCAAGTTTACTATAGGTTTCAATTTCATGCATAAGGTTGGTGTGGGGTGAGGTGAGGGAGAACAGAAGGTCTTCCACATATGCTGAAATTTTGTGTTGTTTATCCTCAACTTCAAGCCTTGGATATTTGGATTGACTCTCACTTTGGAGAGGAAGGGCTCCAGGGAGAGAATGAATAAGAGAGGGGAGAAGGGACATCCCTGTCAGTTCCCATTTGTGATGTTCAAGGGATCTGAAAGGATACCACTGACCTTGAGCACTGTGGAAGGGATAAAATAGATTGCCTATATCCACTTGACAAAGTTGGGACCTAGACCAATATGTTCTAACACAGAGAATATGAATTTCTACCTGACCCTTATAACACCTTTTCGGCTTTTCATTGATAGGAAGAGGCAGGGGGTCTTCCTGTGAGAGGCTACTTGTATAAGATTGAGGATTTTTATGAAGTTGACCTTTCTATTGAATAGAGAGGAGAGATGGGCCTTTCCCCTTTTTGGGGATAACCGCAATGTGGGTCAACAGGATGTCTTTTGCAGCCATCCGCTTGTGAATACTCTTTGGACATACATAGTACGGTCAAAGAGCTGAACTAGTTAACCACTTGCCTACCAGGCACTTATACCCCCTTATTTACCAGGCCAATTTTCAGCTTTCAGCGCTGCCGCACTTTGATTGACAATTGCGCAGTCATGCAACATTGTACCCATATGACATTTTAATCATTTTTTTCTCACAAATAGAGCTTTCTTTTGGTGGTATTTAATCACCACTGGGTGCTTTACTTTTTGCGCTATAAATAAAAAAAGTGCAAAAAATTTGAAAAAAAAAAAAAAGTTTCTTTGTTTCTATTATAAAATTTTTCAAACAGGTATTTTTTCTCCTTCACTGATGTGCGTTGATGAGGCAGCACTGATGGGCACTGATAGGCGGCACTGATGGGCACTGATAGGCAGCACTAAAGGGCACTGATAGGCAGTACTAATGAGGTGTCACGGATAGGCGGCACTAACATGCAGCACTGATAGGTGGCACTGATAGGTGACACTGATGATGGGTACTGATAGACGGCACTGACTGGCATCACTGCTGGGCACTGACTGGCGGCACTGACTGGCACAACCCCTGGGCACTGACTGGTGGCACTGACTGGCAGCACTGCTGGGCTGCACTGGTGGGCAGCAGTGGTGGGTGGGCACAGGTGGGTGGCACTGGTGGGCACAGGTGGGTGGCACTGCTGGGCACAGGTAGGTGGCACTTCTGGGCACAGGTAGGTGGCACTGCAGAGTGGCACAGGTGGGTGCACTGCTGGGCACAGGTGAGTGATTTGCTGGGCACAGGTAGGCGGAGCTACTGGGCGCACTGCTGGGCACAGGTGGGCGGAACTTGCGGGTGGCACTGCTGGGCACCGATCATCAGGGCACCGATCATCAGGGCACTGATCATCAGTGCCCTGATGATCGGTGCCGATCCCTGCTCTGACAACTGCCGGTTGTCGGCAGTACTTTCCTCACGATCTGACAGCGTAAGGAAAGTGCAGCCGAGAACTTGCATTTCCCTCTGATCAGCGTGTCATTGGACACCGCTGATCACATGGTAAAAGGCCGCTGTGATTGGCCTTTTACCACATCACGTGATCAGCTGTGTCCGTAGGACACAGCGATCACGGAGATCGCCGGGTGCGCACCCCCTGGGGCGCGCAGGAGAGCGCGTTCTGGGAGGACGTCATATGACGTCCACTCAGAACTGGCCGGCCGCAGTGTAGCCGTCATTCGGCTATCTGCGGTCGGCAACTAGTTAAACAACTGTTTATTGGATAGAAAATTAATATGTCTTTTTGATTGTTGTAAAATTTACGTAAATCCAAAGAGTGGGCGTTATTCACTAGTGTTTTTGCATGGGCAAGAAATGACCTTTTGTAGCAACATTCAGACAATACATGTACATTTGTTTTAATAAGTAAAAAACAAATGGGCAAGAAAAGAGTAATTGTGTGTAGCACTACCCCCTTAGGGGCAGCTGGATTTGAATGGGTCCCCCTATGCTCTGAATGGCCAGGCAACATGCATTTCGCACATATTGCTCACGAGTCAGTAAACTGTCCTCGAACTTGGTTTTGTGATTTTATTGAGGGGTTAAACTTGGATAGGGTCTAGGGGGCATATGGGATGCCTGAGTAACTGTACAACAACTCCTTAGCAACTATGTACAAAAATGCAGATTAGTAACAGTCTCTCTTTACGGAGTGCTAAACCCCTTCAGTCTACCTCCTCAAACCCTGGATGATTCCTCCTCTTCACCCAGCTGCACTGAGGGTATTCTCCGAGGATGTAAGAGTACTCACACTGTCCCCTCCTGTTAGCTTAGTGGATTGGTGGGTTGGTGGCTGGTGGCTGCCTTCAGGCCTTCTGTTGGGCTGGCTCCTTCCCTGCTACACAGGCAATGTTGAAGCAGTGGAGATCCTCTTCTCCAGTGACCTGCCTGTAGGTGTGACCCCCTCCAAGGCTCCTCACTCCAGCCTTCCTCAATTCATCTTTCACCCGACACTGCACACTATTCCCCAGGCTCTCTGATATTTGCGGGTTGCCTTGGTCACCACGCCCAGACTCATGCCAGGGGACTGGACAAGGTCCCTCAAACATGCAGATATGGGCTTCCTCCCCTCCTCCTCCCCTGTTCTAGAAATTTCAGAGTTCTGGAAAAGTGGGAAGGCTCCAGAAGCCCTGTCCTATTAGGGCCTCCCAGCCTGTCCTGAGGTGACCTCACTACCTCACTCCCTGGCTCATCCTGCTACTCTACCTCTATCTAAAAAAACAAAAAAATTGATCTAGCTAATCTGGATGTGATAATACACAGGCAAAAAAGGTCTAGTGTCAATACTGCAAAAAAAAGGGGCAATCCTGGCAACAAAAAGGCAATTGTAGTAATACAATGGCAACAAACATCCTTTCCACTACAATACATGGGAAATAAAAGACAATCTTGGTAAGCAACAAACAGACAAGTCAGTTTATGTGCAATAAAATGAATTTGTAAAAAATACATCTAATGTCATGTTTACAGTTAATGAAGAACTGTTTTTTGACACAAGAATGGACAGGATAGGAGTCATTTCACACCAAATGTTCCCTTGAAAACCAATTTAATTTTGCAGTTTGATTTTGAATTAAAGTGATTATAAAGATTCAAGTATTTTTTTAAATAACAAACTTGTTATACTTACCTGTTCTGTGCAATGTGGGTTTGCCCCTGTGAGGCCTCTGTGTGTCCACTGACACACAGTGTGGCTCGGCCCTGTCCCCTTCTAGTAATGACCCCCACTGCTGTGTCTCAACCAGTAAGGAGTGAGGAACAGAGAGCAGTGTTGCTGCTCTCATGCACAGCACTGGATCAATATCAGGCTCTGGTAAGTATTGGGGGGAGGTGATGCAGGAAATACATTAACCCCCCTGGCGGTATTCCCAAGTGTAGCTTGGGGTAAAGTTTCAGTACCACAAGCGGTAACCCCGAGGTACGCTCGGGAATACCATGCGGCTCTGCTCTGGGATCCCTCGATCACTTACCTTGTCCTGTGCTCTGCGATGTCTCTCCTGCAGTATCCCTGGCAATGTCCTCCAGCGGATGCCGGCATCTGTCATCTGGGTTCGTGCGGGGGACGGAACGGCGGGAAATTTGAAAATGACAAAAGTGACATTCACTAAATACGCTAAAATCACATAGTAAAACATTACTGTATCAAACCATTTCACATACATTTTGTCCCTAGTGCATTGTCCTGTGCCCTGCCTGCATTTTTACTGTTCTTTCTGCCTGGAAACTGAGAAACGTCCATGGCGTCCAAAAAGCGTCCCTTTAGGTCAAAAGCGGTTTTAGACCAGCTAGAGAACAGCAAAAGTAAATTAGAATTACTGACAGAATTGATTTGTGGGGAAATTCGTCATCAGACACTGAAAACGATTTTGCGACTTTGCTCAGTGATGTGCGAACTTTGCGCTATATTTCAAATTTCAGTGTTTTTGGTTTGATTATATTATTGAATTAAATTTATTATTATATTATTATTTTTTTTATGATTATTTATTAAAATATAATTTATGATTTCGTGTTTCAAATTGTAACATACTGGGGATGTTTACTAGACTCTTGTTCGGACAGATTTCAGTTAGTTATTCCTAAAAATTACATATTTCCATGCAAAAAAATTTACCGCTTTGAGCACAGAAATATGGACGTAATCAGACCACTAGGGAGGTTAAGGTAAAAAACCTTTAAGTGTAATCTATAACGAAATAGCAAAATTTTACTGAAATGCCATCGTTCTCAAAATTTTGATGATAAAGTGAAAAAACGCTGATTTTTCTAACTATTAGTAATGAGTTGAACTGCCTTGAATTTGGTTCTACAGTGATTCTGTGAACCCAAAGCCCATTTAAATCAACTGAAGCCAAATTTGTTGAATTAAAAATGCCCATTTTTGGGCCAATAGGCAACCCAGTGTCAAAAAAATGCCATGGGGGTGGTCATGGGGAATAAGTGCCAATAAATAAATAAAAATTCCATGCAGCCCGGAGCAGTGATTTTTTTTTTTTTTAGTGGTGACATTCACAAGGGAAAAATGTTTTCATTTGCAAGCAAATGACTTTGACAGCTGGCAAAAACAGCTTATTTATATATATAAAAAAAAATTAAATCTAGAATCCCTCCAAAAATGTGCACAACAGAAACATCTGTTTTGTTTAGTTTCAGATTCATTTGTTAAGTTAATAATATTGTTATGTCCAGGGGTGGAACTGACCACTGCTGATGACCCGGGGTCAGTAGAGGTGCTGTGAGATGCCCCTGGTACCTTTTTTATAGGCTTTTTTCAGTTTGGGCAAGGACACAGGAGCCCATGATCCCCTATTGCCCAGGGGCCCCATGAGTTGTCAGACCGCCGCTGGTTATGTCATATTTGTTATGTTAGAATGATTAATTTTCTAAATTAAATTCATACATTTTGGATACGTTTTGTATTATTGTTGTTTTCAAATCAATTAAAAATTCCAAATTTGAATTTTGACATTCGAAATTTTGAATTTTGACATTCGAAATTTTGAATTTTGAAATTTGAATTTTGGACGATAGCTATATTTGTTCTATATTATGTTATCATCATCTTATTTCACTTTTATACCTTACTGTATTTATTGCAATATGTTTCCATTTCTAATTCAAATTAATTTCCAAATTCAAATTTATTTTCAAATTCAGATAACTATTTTCTTTATAATTTATTTTGAATTTGTTGAAATTCATTACTACTGTGTTTCAGAAATTCGAATACATCTGAATATCTGAATAACAAAAATTATGTCTGTATTTTGATTCGTAACAAAACAAATCACACATGTCTATTCACCCGTGGTTTGCTATGTATTTTTGGGGGTATCTATGTGCTGTTAACCACTTGCTCTCCTGAGGATTTACCCCCTTCCTGACCAGGCCATTTTTTGTGTTACGGTGCTGTGTTACTTTAAAAGACAATTGCGCGGTCATGCAACGCTGCACCCAGCGTGAGGAAAGTACTGCCGATAACCAGCAATTATCAGAGAACACATCAGCACTGATGATCACTGCCCAACAGTGCCACCAGCCAGTGCCACCCACCTGTGCCCGGCAGTGCCACCCACAAGTGCCAAGCAGTGCCACCCACCAGTGCCCAGCAGTGCCACCCACCAGTGCCACCCATCAGTGCTGCCCAGCAGTGGCACCCATCAGTGCTGCTCAGCCGTGCCGTCAGTCAGTCAGTGCCACCCATCAGTGCAGCCTATTAGGGCCCATCCGTGCCCATCATTGCTGCATATCAGTGCAGCATCAGTGCTGCCTATCAGTGCTCCCTATCCGTGCCACCTTATCAGTGCCACCTAGCAGTGCCCATCAGTGCTGCCTATCCATGCAGCCTCATCAATGCACATCAGTGAAGGAGAAAAATTACCTGTTTGCAAAATGTTATAATAGAAACAAAGAATAATTTTTTTTCCCACTTTTTTTTGCACTTTTTTGTTTATAGCGCAAAACATAAAACACCCAGTGCCAATTAAATACTACCAAAAGAAAGCTCTCTTTGTGTGAAATAAATGATAAAAATGTCATATGGGTACAATGTTGCATGACCACGCAATTGTCATTCAAATTGTGACAGTGCTGAAAGCTGAAAATTGGCCTGGGCAGGAAAGGATTATAAGTGCCCTGCAGGCAAGTGGTTTTAAACATGTACAGTAAAAAAATTTTAAAAAAACAAATTTCAGCATAAATTTAGGCCAAAATGTATTCTGCTACATGCCTTTGCTAAAAAAAAATCCCAATATATGTAAATTAATTGGTTTACGTGAAAGTTACAGCGTTTAAAAATGTATATATACTGCAAAATGTTTTTTTTTACTAGTAATGGTGGTGATCAGCAACTTATAGTGGGACTGTCGGACTGCGGCAGACATTCTGACACTGGGGGGAACTGACTTGGTGTTACTGACATCCACAGTGACACCAATATAGTAATCAGTGCTAAAAAAAAGCACTGACACAGTACTAATGGAACTGGGCAGGAGGGGTTAACATGAGGGCAATCAAAGGATTAACTGTTTGCTGGGTGTGTTTTACTGGGGGGCAGTGTGTTGATGCTCCACTGTAAGCACACTGCTCTGGATGGCTGTGCACAGCCATCCAGAGCAGTGTACCCGAGCAGACAGGGAGGAGGACTGTTAGTAAACAAAGCAGCCCTCCTCCCCATCGGAGATCCTCGGTAATCACCAGGCGCCTGTGGGTAACCACTGGCCGGGACCTTGTGATTGACAGCCGCATACACGAATGGTGACGTGGGTAGGGCACACGTGCCCCCTACCCAGAAATACAAATTCATGTATATATACGTGATTTTGCGCAACCCTGCCGCCCTGTAGCAGTATACTGTATCTGCTATAGGGCAGTCGGGATGTGGGAAAGAAGCTGACAATTAATGCAATTAATGTACCTCACACAAAAAAAATGCTTGCTGTCCCTCCAATAACACATACCAGACCCTTAATCTGAGCACACAGCCTGTTTGGCCAGGAAAGGGGGACAAAGAGTGTGTGTACCCTCCTGAACCATACCAGCCCACATGCTCTCAACATGGGGGTGGTGCGTTGTAAGGTAGACCCTTTGGCAAAGACCTGAATTATACCAAGTCACATGCCCTTAACATGGGGGTGGTGTGTTGTGGGGGGAATCCCCTAGAAACGTACCTTGTTCCTATGTTGATGAGGACTAGGGCCTCTTCCACATAACCCTTGCCCACTGGTTGTGGAGATCTGCAGGCAAGGGGCTTATTAGGATCTGGAAACATTGTTTAACAGTAAGGAGGCACCCAGATACTGGTCCCACATGTGAATGGGTATGGAGTCCTCATTCACAAAAAATGTTGTAACCTAGAAATAAAGACATCGAACTGACATTTTTTTTAATTTAAAAAAATCTTAAAAAACATCCTCATTGTAAATCAACGGTCAATCCATGTCACTTAGGGTGCCCAACAGTGACCACTTGCTTATAAAAAAATGCAGATGTTGAGACAAATTCAGCTCTTTCAAGTATCACCCAACAAATAGGAAGTCTGGTGGATGACAGCTGTTATATACAAGGTGACAGGGTCCGCCTGTGACATGGTTGACTATATATGATAAATGACATTACTGGGATCTCACCCCTTTGCTTACATCGATAGGTATTTCTATGGCTAGGTAATCCTATTCCATCACTGGTTGTCAAGGACTCAACAGAGCCTGAAACGCCAGCATCCTTAACAACCTTTGGCAGCAGGAAACTAATGAATATCAGCAGTAATAATACTTCTATTGTACATAACATCCAGTTACCTTGTGTTCAAAGCAAACTTTGAGCTCATCCCTACTAAACATAAAAGTTATCTTTGTATCTGTGAACAACCAATACAAAAGCAACCATGGCAGCTGCTCAGATCAGTTTGAAACTAGCAAAAAAAGTGGAAAGGTGCAAATGGACAGGCAATGTACAAAACAATACAAACAATCCTCACCTGGGAAACATTTGTATTTTTTAGCCTAAACTAAAACTCAAAATAATCAGTAACAAAATGAACTGCATGAGTATGCGTCCTGACCCAGAGGACAGGGTCCAATTGCTCTTTTTTCTTTGCCTGACATTGGAAGGCTTTTTTTTTATTTTATTGGTACAAAAAAGGGTAACATAAAAACATCTAGTCTTCAGTCTAGCTTTTACATTGATTAGCAGATTCACACTTCCTTTATGAAAACTTTCAGCTCCACTGGTGCATTTCTTAAGTTAACATCTGTTTACCCTTCTACCTTGCAGACACCGCGACAGATGCACTCCTGTTTTCTTTTACTTGGAAACTGACAGATGGACCATCAGTCATAAATAAAGTGTATGAATGCCCACTGGGCAATGAAAGAGAGGGGATAGCGGAGCATATTGCTTTTTCAATTATCATACCTGTTTTTTTCCCCGTCTTCTTCCTTTCAAGTGGTAATTTCTTGCTTGATGAATTAGATGAGGTCTGCTTTCTACCAGGTACAAAAGAAAACGAAAATGTAACTTTGGGAAATGTATGTCTGCGTTTTACCCCATAAACTATTATAATTAACCATTACTTAAATGTTCTACTCAATCTCTCCTAAACTAAATAGTAAGTAATTACATAATGACTTCCTGCAGAAGATATATATGAAAAGATTTCATGCTGTGCTTCAACCTCAGTACAATAGTCTATTGAGTAATAGCCACATACTAGAGACCTGTTTAAAGCATCTTCTTTCATGACACTAAAAAGTTACCTATTATTTAGGGAGTACTTGAAAGAGGATGTAGCTGGGTTTCAACAGGCTACCAGAACAAGGGGTACAGGAGCAGATAAAGGTTAGAATAATAACCCGCTACAAGTTTTTATAATTTGTGAAAAAAATTTATTCTATTTTTTCACTCCAAAGAAGTATACACAGTATCTTAGGCTGGGTACACACACACACACAAATTTTTTATAAAAAAACCTGACAGATCTCTGCATCAACACAAGTGATGTGTGATACGGGGATCTCTCCCACTGAGCTATTGTATTCTGACAAGGGGGGGGTCTGCCTTTCCTTGCCAGAATACATTGATTAGTGCTTACAGCCATTGGCTGCAAGCAACAATCAAATGCTGGTTTTCCAACATGATTGCTTGATAGAAGCTGGTCATTAGACAGACCTCTGTCGAACAGACAACTGTAAACATGGACCAAGAGTTGGCCGGCCCATGTGTACTGGGCATTAGTCTTGCTAATGCATATTTAAATTGGCACAGCTATCTCAAAATGAGAGATAAGCTGAAATTAAAGGTCAATTTGTCTCTGAAAACTACAAACATTTCCTTTTCAGATTACCCAATTTGTGAGGGGTTGGTGTAATAGCATTTCACATATTCCTGCGGGGCAATTGAAATGCTCTGTCTTAATTGGCATTTACAAAAAAGTATAGAAGTGAAAAGCAAAGGACTAAAGGTGATATTGTAACAATTATTTAGCATAGTTTAGCAGTAGGAATGTAGTTTGAGTTTGCAGTTACCATGGGTTAGAGATTTGTGGCCTGAAATTAATCAGTTTGAGGTGCTACTGCTTTATGTAAGCCAAGCTATTTGTAAAAGAAAAAAAACAGCCACACATGATTAGGCTAGTGTAAGCTTTCACTGTGGCAAGCCATGAAAATTAGACTGTTCTGTAATACCACATAAACTTTTAAGCCTGGCCATTGATGCCTTGTTATTTGGCTGATCAAAATAAAAGTACAGATTCCCCCATCCACACATGCAAGGTGAATGGAGGAATCTGCCCTGCTGTTAAACTGTATTGTGGCGGCAGGACTCTTCCGCTGTCAGAATACAGTGATCAGTGGCTGCAGCTGGCTGATTGAGAAGAATTTTCCAACAAAAGTTCTTGTTTTGTTCTACAAAAGTTGATAATTTAACTTCTGTCAAGCAGGATCAGCCACATATAGATCGGAATTTGGCCAATGCCTGCTGAAGCAGACAGATTTTGATCCATCTATGGGCAGCTTAAGGCAGCCCCCAAGCATGTTATTTAATGGATTTGTGTATTTGTAATGTTGTCCTCAGCCACATAAAAAAAAAAAAAAAATCTTCCTTCATGATGTATGGTGAATAGAACTGTGTTGAAAAGTCACTAGAGACATTTCAATAAAGCTTGGTAAAAAAGTGCCATTGCACCGACTTTTTATTTAATTTACACACTGTATATTTTTTTTACTTGCTTACTTCTTGCCTGATTATTGTCATAATTGCCCATTTTCTTACCAATGCTTTTTCATGGTTGTCTGTATTTTCTCCACAAATTGTAATCATTGCCCTTGTAAGGTAACAGTTACCAGTCTGGTCTGGATGGATGGGAGTCATACTACTGCAGCCAGCCTGGTGGCTAGGATCTTGGATAATATCTTAACACTTACTGTAGTTAACAGTAAAATTGGGTGATAAGAGATGTCATCCTTCTTAGGCAAAACAGCTATAATAACCTCTCTCACAGAGGAAAAAAAAAAAAAGACTATCCACAGGACAATATTTTAAATCATGTACAATAGAAGGGCTT